TATAAAGATTAACTAAAAATAAGATGATTTTGTAAATTCGAATGCTAAAACATTTAAGATTTCTCTTTATTGCTTAGGTCTTGCTTATTTTGATGAAGTGAATGATTCCTCTCAGATATAATATATTGTGTAGATTTGATATCAAAATTATTAATACTATTCTCAAATTCAACTATCTATTGTTTCATTAAATTCATTGTTTTAATTTAGAGTAAATAAATAAAATTAAGATTTTACTAAATAAGAATCAATATTTTATTAACCATAGAAGAATCCAATTATTAGGAATTAAAATAATAATAGTAAGAAAAAGTAGAAGAATAATATTACAAAAAGTAAGAACAGATTAATTAAAGATTAATGATATTTTTAATTTGATGATGCTCTTAAGATTTTAGATCAGGCATTAAATTTAGATATTAAGAAGCAATTATTTATAATTTTTAAAGCCACTAATATACAAATTTATTTTCTAATTAGTTGAATATAAATAAATTAAATATTGAATAATCAGTGAATCATTTGAAAGATTCAATTTTTTATCAAAAACTAATTTAATTTAATTAAATAAATCATTTCGTAATAAACTTATTATGTAAATTTTAGAGAAATGAAATAATGATGAGTATGATAAATTGGTAATTTAGAAAATTGACTCAATTACTTTAAAAAATAGTGGCTAAGTGTACTCTTGAGGTTTTTAAATAGAATGTGAACATTTATTAATGATAATTTAATGAACCTGATTAATCTCTCTGTAGTGCCTTACATTAGCGATTAATAATTCAATCCATATTATGATATTTATGAAGGAGATATACCAATAAACGAAATAAATATTGATTAAGAAGGCGAAGCAAAATAAGTTGGTTCCAGATTAAGATGAGCTCTTAGTAGTATAAATGGAATAAGAGAAGAAAGAAATATTCCTTTTTTTGGATATTGATAATCAATTTAATATTTAGTCTCTCTTTTCAAACTACAATAGACTTAATTCTAATATATTGAAGGTTTATTTTGATTTATGTAAATTATTTCCTTTTTTGAATAAATAAATTAAATATATTAATTTACCAATCAGATTGATAAAGTTTATCTAACAATAAAAGCTAATCATTTTTAATTAATCAATCATAATGATGTGAAAAATATCGAGTAATAGTTTGGCAGCTAGAATTTATATAAGAATGTTTATTTGAATACATTAATTAAATGAATTAATCGATAATCATTTTTTTTTTATATAAAAAACTCATATAAATGTATTTTCTTTTAAAAATTCATTTATCAAAATGCTGTTATTTAATTTCCTAAATGATATTATTAATTTTGAGAATTTCAAAATCGGTTATTAATATTAAACAGTAGGTATTAAAGTTATCATATGTATAAATTAAATGGCAGTTATCAGTAATTATAATTTTTTATGTTAATAATTGTTCTAATTGGATTTTTACTAGACTTAACATATCTACATATGAACTTATTATGATGAGTATATATGATTTCATAAAAATCCTTGAAGTTTAGAATTCTTTAGAATCTTATCCCCTTCTTCATCATATACTCAGCCTCCACTACATTAATAGGGTTATTGATATTCTAATTTATATCTTAAAAAAAATTGTTTATTATTCCAATCTTCCTAAAACTCAATATCCTATCTACTAATTTTTTTTTCCATTATTTTACAGTATAAATTTACTAAAGAATCAATAATAAATTTATCTGACAAAT